GCTGCCTGCCTGCCTCGCTCGCTGTGCACGGCCTGGGCAGCTGGCACAGCAGGACCCAGCTGGGGGAATTGAAGATCCAAGCAGACAGAAACCACTGGAAATCTGTGGGGTTTTCCTCAGGCAATGCAGAGCTGCTGACACTGAATTCTGCAGGTTCCCAGGAAAAGTGACTTTGGATGTTTCTATTCTAAGATATATTTGGGCCACAGGGGAAGAGAAATGCATTTATATATTAGCTTGGGACTAGGCAGCCACGTGGGGAGGAATGTGGCAGGGCTCCACCACAGAGTCCCAGTTCTGCTCCACGCTCAGCCCTGGGCTCTTGCCAGATCACCTGCTCCTTCTGATCCTGAGCAGGCACAAATTATCCCTGTTTGCTTCTCAAGGAAGAGGCTGAGCTTGGTGTCCTGCATTAAGGTTATTTACAGCCTCTGGAGTTTCCTTATTAATGACTGCCTAGGAAGGAGCTTGTCAGAAGTTTGTCAAACTGACAGAATTCCTACTGGCTCCTTCCCCTCCTGGTCTCCCGTGTTTCACTGAGCAGAGCTGGTGGCACTGGAAACATCTTTGTGCTCCTGCTCTTCATCCCCTCCACAATCCAGAGGGTCTGGCAGGGGAGAAAGAGAGGAGCCAGGAATATCGAGGTAATGGGGAACTTCAGCTACTGTCAAGCAGAGACTTCCCAGGACTGGATCTGAAAAGACCCAGGCATTGCAACCCTCTGGCTGCTTTGTCCCATCTTGGACTGGATGTTTTGAGTTTTGGTTTAACCTTCACAAACCTGAGAAGGAAACCTTCACAAGCCTGAGACAGTGTTTGTCCTGGGTTCTGAAGAACCTGGAATTCACACCTTTGTCCCTTGGCAGTGTTTTCTATTCCAGTTTCCCCCTGAACACTCGCTGCTGGGGAAAAGCCCTGTCCCTGCATGGGATGGAAACTCCTCCATGTCTCACCAAGAGGTTCAAAGTCCCTTTGGTTTTCTGGAAGCCCTCGATGAACTCGGCCTCGCTCGGGTCAGCATTCCCAGTGCCCGGAGAAGGGCAGGGAAGGACACGCTGTGAGAGCATCCCCTTTGGGAAGGTTCCATCTGCCTGCCCTGCAGCAGGCACAGCACAAATGGGTGTTGAGACCAGAGCTGCTCAAAGTGAGGGGTTCAGGGAAAGGCAAACTCCCTCTGTGTGCCAGAGGCTCCGTGAGCTCCGCCTGAGGTGCCCCCGGAGCGGCTCCTCCCGAGCTGCTGTGCCTGGATCCGAGGCTGTGCCAGGGCATCGATCCCTCCCTGCTGGGCTGGGAGCTGAGGTGTCCCCCTGCCTTCATCCCCTGTGCCCCCCTGTGCTCCCCGTTTGTTTCTGCTGCTGCACTGCCCCTGCTGGCCCTTCCTGCTGGTTCTGCCTCCCTTTCTTCCTTTGGCTGAGCTCTGGGAATGCCTCTGCAGCCCTCTGGAGCTGGGTGAGGAGCACTGGGATGTCAAATAGGGTGCAGTTATCTACCAACTTCAAGCTGCAGGTTTGTTACAGAACCCGGACAGTTTGACCCCTGAAGCAGAAAAATGGGACCACATAAGCCTGAGTTTCTGAACTTTGGGGTAAAATGACAGGTTCAAGGTGGGATATGTGATAGGCAGTTCAGTAAGGCTGTACCTTCCTAGTACCTCAGCCAGTGGGGAAGGGAAGAGGGCAGCATGTGGCCGGGAGTTGAGGATAAAAGGAGCTGTGCCCTCCAGAACCTCGAGGGAGAAAACCCCGTGGGTGTGCCACAGGGGACTCTCCGTTTATTTGAAAAAAATCGCAGGACTCCTCTGTCTCCTTTATGGACACTGGCTGTCCAGCCTGGCCTTGGACACTGCCAGGGATCCAGGGGCAGCCACAGCTTCTCTGGGCAACTTGTGCCAGGGCCTCACCACCCTCACAGGGAAGAATTAACAGCCAACCTAAACTTTTTTTTTTTTCCTTCAAAAAACGGTGAATCTGCAAACTTCTTTGCTAAATTCTTACTTGTGGTCTGTCAAAAAAACCCCAAAACAATTAAAAAATACTAACAGGTGTCCTTTTCCCCCCCTCCCTCCCAGCAATGTGGCACAAATTCCAGTGATTGGAAGAGGCTGGAAGAAGCTGGATTTCACACAGTGGAGGCTGTGGATTATGCACCAGAGAAGGAGCTGCTGAACATTAAAGGCATCAGTGAAAAGTGAAACCAAAGCTGACAAAAGCCCAGTAAGGATGTTCTGGAACTTTAACCCAATATATTCCATAGGTTTATCTCTTCTGGCTGAAAGTATTGTGATGAATTTGGAAGTCTCCAAAGAGCAGTAAAGGTGATTGGAGATGTGACATGACTTGTGGTGGGAAAAGACAAAATGCACCAGGACAGGACTGAACTGATGGGGAGGATATTTCCATAAAACACACAAAAGGGATGTTGGAGCTTTTTCTTGGAGCAGAATTTCAGTTCTGTGCAGAGGTACCAGCTCTTGCAAGGTCTGTGAAATGTGCATGGAATGATACCTCTCCACAAGGCAGGAAATATTAATTACTGGGGGTTAACAAATTAATAAAATTAATTAGCCTAAGCTCTCCTAGCACTGCTCAGTTGGGTTTTCCCTCAGGCTGAGGCAGCCAAACTGTTCCTTGGGCTTCACCAGGGCCACAGAATTCTACCAGCAATGGCCAGAGATCATCCAGATCACCACTGGCTCCAAAGAGCTGGACAGGCTGCTTCAAGGTCAGCATTTTATTATTTCTCTTTCCTGCTTAAGCTCAGTTATTGGGGTGGGGTTTTTCCCATGAGTTTGATCTTTGCATGGAACCACATAAGACAAGTCTTGGTTGGATGAAAGACCTCTAGGGCTGCTCTTGAATAATTGCTTTTATTTTAAAAGCTGCAGAAATAATCTTTAATCCTTTTAGTCATGATGCACGAGCCAGAACTGTCCCTTTGTAGATGTTTTCTGGTTTATTTAAGTCTGTGATTTGTTTAGGGAAAACAAAACCAGGCATCACCATTCCTCTGGTAATCCAAAAATGAAAACAAGTAATTTTGGCTCTTCAGAAACACATCTGGACTTCTTATCCACAGCATGAACAAATCTCAGGATGACAAGTTTTCCCTCTTAGTTTTGAAGCTTTCAGCCAAATTCAGTGTTTAACTGAGTCTCTACACATGTAATATTTTATATGTGGGATAGATAGATACATAGATATCTGTTTGTAACATGTGACCTTTTAATTTTCATTAATAATTATTATTGTTTTTTTCCCTCCAGGAGAAATAGAAACAGGATCCATAACAGAGTTATTCAGGGAATTCCATACTGGGAAGAAGCAGCTGTATCCCAGCCTGGCAGTCACTGGTCAGGTGGGTGATTCACCTCATTGCAGCCCAATATTCAGAAACTACAGCCTTGGGCTATTTGCTCATTTGGGCACCTCCCTTGACTTTCTAAGTGTCTCTTACTGACTAGAGGTTGCCATTCCCTAAAATAGAGTGGCTTGCACTTAATTTGATCATTTAGTTGACTTCTTAAACTTCCCAGCTTCTCAGCTCAAAGTTGAGCACCTTCCATCTTGTGTAGAATTGTGGAATCCTGGAGTGGTTTGGGTGGGAAGGGAACTTAAAGAGCCCATCCAGTTCCATGGGCAGGGACCTTCCACTGTCCCAGGGTGCTCCCCTTGGCCTTGGACACTTCCAGGGATCCAGGGCAGCCACAGCTTCCCTGGGCACCCTGTGCCAGGGCCTCAGCACGCTCACAGGGAAGAACTTGTTCCCAATATCCTATCTGTCCCTGCCCTGTTAGAATGGAAGCCAATCCCCCTTGTCCTGGCACTCCAGGGTGACAGCTACTGCAAAGGGAGGAGTCAGAGATGGGGACCAAGAATCTTCCCTCTTGCTTTTCCTAGCTAAATGGAAATTTAATCACAGTAACTTGGGATATTATTTGTTGTATGAGCTCAGTGAGGGCATGTGGCCATATCTGCTGTATTTATGGATACTTTATTCCCTGTTCATTCCTTTCCTTCTCCTTTAGCTCCCCATAGACCACGGGGGCAGCGAGGGAAAAGCCACATCCAAGGGCACAGAGGGGACCTTCCATCCAGAGCAGCTCCTGGCCATGGCTGAAAGGTCAGTGAGTGGAAGACAGGAGTAGATGGACTCACAGCTCAGCTGGAAAATGTTTCCCACAGGTCCTGGAGGTTGATCTGGCAGGTATTCCCATTGGAAAGCTGTGGTGTTGCCGTTCCTCTCCCCACAGCTCTCGTGTCATTGTCCCTCGGCATGAGGTGATTTCCCTCTCCTGCTTCTAGAAGGGACTGGGAGCTTCCCAAGCAGCTGGGGACAGGACTGGCTGCATCCTGTCAACTCTTCCTGAAGGGAATTTGATCTAATCCTTCTGGCTTCTCTCACAGCAAGGACTGCTCCCGTGCTCCCCGTCTCCAGGGAATATTTGGCAGCCATGCAAAGGAGAGGAAGTGCAATGGTGCTTGCAGCAGGCACAGGTGTGTCTATGCTGGCTGCGTACAGGTGTCCTTGGAATCATGGAATCCTTCAGGTTGGAGGAGCCCTCTGAGATCATGGTTGTTCCCAGTTGTTCCCTGGCGCTGCCGAGGCCACCACTGTCCCATGTCCCCAAGTGCCACATCCACACAGCTTTAAATCCCTCCAGGGATGGGGCTCCACCACTGCCCTGGGCAGCTGTGCCAGGGCTGGACAGCCTTTCCTCTCAGAGACTTCCCAATATCCAGCCTAAACCTCCCGGGATCATGTGAGGCCGTTTCCTCTTATCCATTTCAAATGGTTCCAATCATTCCTTTCTCTTTTCATCACCATGGGTTGCATTTCCTCCTGCTTTTGTTTCTGCCGGGAATGTGAGTTTTTCTTCCAGTCTTTTGACAGTTTCTGGAGCTCCAGGAGCTCCAAGGTTCGTCCCTTTTCCCCTCCTGATTTTGCAGGAATGGCCTCTGCCAGGGCTTTAACAGCAACTGCCAGGCCCAGCTGCTGGATCAGGCTAAAGACTGAAAACTCCTTTTCTTGCCCTGCATCCCCAGGGATGCTCTGTGTCCCTGTGTCTCCTTTCCTGTGGCACCAAAGGGATGCTCCCGGAGTAGCGGGCGGAGGAAGCTGTGGCTGTCAGTGGGAACTCGGGACAGCTGAGCCCCGGGAGCTTCCTGGGCAGCGTTCCCATGGGACCACACCCCGCGCGTTTCCCTGGATCCCACCCTGGGCGCGGTGCAGCGGAATCTCGGTGGCCACAGTTGGTAACTCGGTGAATTGGAAGCAAAGCTGAAGGGTCTGTCCATGGAGAGAAGGGTGATTTATAAAGCAAAGCAGAGTGGTATTCCACACCAGGGATTTGGGATGGTCTCAATCCATAATCCTTCTGTTAATTTTCTTTTGGATGCTGCAGGCTGCTGTCCTGGGGGAGCTGCTCCTTTTTCCATTTCCATCTAATTTTC